GCAGTGATCAGGAGGGAATAATTATATCAATTCTTGCTGAGTTTGCCTTGAGGAGTACTACCGCCCTCCAACCAGAAGCGTCATTGCTACTACGAGGAATGAAACTGGCACATTAGCGCCTACAAACCTGGTGCAATAGCGTAGCTGAGCTGCTTCAAATGCAAGGTGTACAGTTCAAACTCCTTTGGGCATTGTTCAAGGAGTTCACCTTCTCTTTGAATCTTTTCACGCTCCGTCGGACCGTGGTCAGTCATATTCTTCCTGTAAATATCACGTCAGTTGTTAAAATAGTATGCTTGGAAGGCAAAATGAACCCCTCTTTTTTTCTGTAACAATGTATCCATCCCACTTTATGGACTTTTATATGAATCCCAGCCGATGCCATCACAGTCCGACGGGGCAGTGCCAGGAGTCGTGCAATGAGCCCGTTTGCGGTTGTGTTTTCTTCATGAACTGGCCACTATTCCGAGCTCCCCGTCAGATATCAGCTGCAGCCTGCTTTGCAGATGCCTTGCGCGGTATGGCTGCACTTCCCGATGGGAGAGAGTCCAGTATCATTTGAGCCCCTCCTCCCAGGCAGTCGGTGTCGCTTATATGATGAAACTCCGGTACGAGCTGACTGCGCTGAACGAATACTGACCTTCGTTGCCCATGGCCTTGGATAATGACACGTAGAATATCGCAATTCCCAGGCACCCTTCACTTGTGTGGGCTTGAGAACCACAGACAGCACCGTTGGGAGAAGAGAGGGGGGTACGTTGCCTGCACCCTGTTGGACCTGGTTCGAGTCATACAGCCCGTTTCAGGACACTCCTCAGCCGAGGAGCCTCCGTACTATCTCTCCTTCGTCTTTCTCCTTCCTTAATTTCCTTCCTTTCTACTTTGTTCCCTCCTCTTTTCCTTCTCCCTTCAACTGCTGGGCAGTACATGCCATGGGAAAATACCCTACACACTCCCAGTGAAAGCATGTCCGGTTGCACCCACTAGTGCAAACACAGATGCAGCGCAATAGTAGTACCACAGTATGATCCCTCAATCAGAAAAGGATACTTCTACTGAATTATGCGGATTACTGCCGTATTTCCAACTCACCACGGCAAGTTTCCGATAAGCATTTCGACGAGCATATAGAAAAGACTCCAGAGATCATCTTGTCGCCCTTGCTCTTCCCGACTGTGGGCATTAATTGAACAGTAGCGGGTGGTTCCTCTAGAAAAGCCCTAGTAATGGTAATTGTTCCAAGGAAATAGGCGGCGCAGTTTGTCGACGGGGGGGGGGGTATTTTCATTTTCAAGATCGG